GTTAAACACAGCTGGGAATGTCAGGAGCTACATGAGTGTGTGTGTGTGTGTGTGTGTGTGTTTAAGCTGCCAAACCAGATCAACAACACACACGCACAGACATTTAAAGCAATACCTTATCACCGGTTTTGATTACCATTTGGAACACGCCCCTCCTCTCCTGCATTTGCTTTGAAGAGCAAAACAATGTTAAAATGAAGATCACAATATACATATTTGACCTCCATCTCCTGCTTTGCTCAACCTCACCTGGTTTCAATAAAGTTTGAATTCAAGCTGTAAAATGGAAAATCCCAGTTTTCTTTAGCACTTAATGTGAACAATGCATTGTAGCTGCTGAGACGGCGTGGTGTGAATAGAATAACCATTTACATTATTTAAGTAGTTACACAAATAAAATAATTATTTAAGTTCTTTATTTTGGGTATTTTTTTTTTTCATTGTACTGTACGTGATTTTTTTTATTCCAGTATTGTAAATAAAACTAGGGATAACTCTTGTTTTTTTTCTTCAAAGATATCAATATGTTTATTAAAATTTATAGCATGACATGCTTACTTGTCTTTACTGAGCATATCATTGTTTTATTTTTATTATTTTTCGTGTGTGTTTAAGTTTTTTATATGCTGCGATTTTATGCTCCTAATTCAAAACATCTCAATTTAAAACCAATATTAGCAGCCTTTTCAGACTCAGACAGTAGAATGGCAGATATGTTGACAAGCAGTTGTGGCTGTAGTGGGTTTTAAGTTACCACCTCTGCTCATCAATGATATGTAAGTATGTAGGCTGTTACAGACTGACTTTAATTTTACTTTCACTTGCAATAAAACTAGTTTCTTGAGTCAAGGCAGGAAACACTGCTCATACTAAAGTACAGATTAACATTAGCTAATCTACAGTTCATTCACACGTGTGTGGTTTTTGGAAAAATTTAAATGTATAAGATTGAAGGCCATTAAAAACAGGCTCTCATTTGGCTTTGCCTGGCCTGGATGAAAACCTTGACTATACTTCTCCTAACTTTGGGCCAATGGCTGATATTAAGGCTGATAAATATTGATAACTATTAACATCCCTTTCCTCCTGTCCTTGACCACACCTATGGAGACAGTAGGCCTAATTAACCCCAGGTATAGTTTGAACTGAGTGTTCAAACTATACCTGAAGTTAATGGGCCTGTTACACCAGGGCGAGGTGGACTCTGCCAGATGTGCCCCTTGTCTCCATAGTTATAGTCAAGGACAGGAGGAAAAGGGATGTTAATATTACAAATATACATAAGGTAACCACAAAAAGTTGTACTGCTGTAAAACTTTATAGCATTCCTCTCCTCCTGTTTTTGAATAAAAGGAAAATATTACATCACCTATCCTTTTTTTAACCTTATTTCTGAAGTTTATCCAACTTGCTTCATAACACACATTTGGGTCACGGCCCCAACTTTGGGAACCACTGGGCTCGATTATGGGTATTTATGGGTGTGAACTGGATAATCAAATATTCATGACTCCAACAATTCTGCAAAGAGCAAAGATTTGGTCAACTGTTCCTCGTGGAGAGTGGACCAAAGCCGCTGTGGTCTTGTTGAGTCTGAGCTTTGACAGCAAGTCAGTGCCTCCCTTTACAACACCCTAGGTTTAAATTACCTTGGGAGGTAGTGTGCTGTGATCCCTGATAACCCTGAACACATTATTTAAAAGAGGAATTTAGGTGGCACGCTGTCTTAATTGGTAGAGCTCTTACCTGTCAACAAGAAGGTTGCAGGATCACATCCCGCCTCAATTTGGGATCTTTCTGTGTGGAGTTTGCATGCTCTCTCCATGCACATGTAAGTTTTCTGTGGGTACTTCAATTTCCTCCCAAAAAACAAAAACATGCATGTTAGGTTCATTAATAATTCTAATGTCTCCCTAGTGAGAGTATGATTGTTTGTCTTGTTTGTCTCTTTGTTCCCTGGAATGGATTTGCAGCTTGTCCAAGGTGTCCCATGACTTTTGCACAGAGATTGCTGGAGACAGGCACCAGCAACCTCTGCAACACAGAAAGGAAACAGCAGATAAAGAAAATAGATGGATAGACGGACTGGAGAGTGTGTTCCAACACTAAACACAGCCTACAAGCCAAATCTTGGAAAAGCATCTATCCTGCAATGTTGAAACAATTTGAAAAGTAGAAGCTGCCAAAATGCTTTGCAATCCAACAGAAAGAGGGACACCGGGTCACCCTAACTGGGGCATGTACCCCAATAAAAATGGTCTGGCAGTGTTCAGGCAATGGGGTGCGAAATACATGTGTAATGTGACTCACTGTGCTAAGTCAGCAGCAAAGATTCAAACAACAAAAAATGAGGACGAAAAAGATTTTTAGGACAACAGCAGCAATGAGTTTCTGCTTCATTCCTGCTTTCAAATACCAAAGAAAAACTGCCTGCGGAGATGACAGCGAGCAACAAGCAGATTGATAGTTTGACTACTGGCCGTGTCGTCATGCTGCGTCACGCCGTCGCTCCTTGGGTCCAAGGTGGAAATTCACTGCTCTGTTTCAGGGGTGCGCAGACACTCTGGTGCATGGAGGCACACACACGCAACAGCAACTGCTGATGGCAATATTAATTTCCTTTTCAAAATACCATTGAGGTTTTTGTGTTGTATCATGATAAGTGAGCTCAGACCACCCACCTCACTGCGGTTCCACACACACACACATACAAATTCACACACTTGAACAAAAGTGTGTACACTGCCATATTTAGAGTAACGCAATACAAGGTTGTCCATGCAACATTCACATCCAATCAAAATTGCATGAAATGTAACTGTCCAATAGCCTTGCAAGGTCCAGCATACATTTCAGTTTACTCTCTATCTTTGGTATGAATCATTAGTTTTCATTTGGAACCATTTTGCTTTTCCCTCCTAAAAGGGGCTCTTGTCTGGCTATCATTCTATAGCAGTGTAACTCAGTACTTTGAATAAACATGAGAAGTCTGTATACCAAATATTTGTAAAACTGAGGAGGCTGGGAGTGCGTGCAATAATACTGTATACATGACTGAGAATCAGCACAGGCGATACTTATAGGGTAACAGATCTGCAAGAGGAGGGAAACAATAGCCCCGGTGATGAAAACAAGACATCACTTTGATTTTTCATCCAGAACTAAATGAACACTCATTCTTTATCCTGTTTTTGTACTTGTGTTTCTGTTGTGCAGTCATTTATTCAAACCTCTGGGAACTAAAATCAGTGGCTGACAAAATCAATGAAAACAACCTGAGCTTCCAAGCAAAAGATTAATATAGTACATGGATCATGTTGATAAGCATTGCTCAGAAAGTCTGTGTGAGTAATGTTGCCTGAGTGTGTGTTTATCAGTGCTGTCCCTAAAATGCTTATGAGTTGGGTTACAATGTTTTGCAGCACCTGGGTCCAGTTCTTCTTTTATTCCTCATTCATCAAGCATCTTCCTCTAGGTCCTTTAATGATCCACAGCCACACTCAAAGAAATATTGTAGTTTCCACGCCTTTGTTTCTCAAGTCAGCCCTGGGGCCTTCACTTAGTTGACATGCCTTGATATATCTATAAAATAAAGTGCCAGGAGGCATCATTATCAGGTGTGCAAATGACTTCGCCTGGCTCCTCTCAATGTGGAGAAACAGGAGCAGAATGGCGTTCATCCACCAAGGGTTTTCTTTTGACATGTATTTATTCCATCACCCTGATTTCAAGAGATCATTGGTCCAGTTTCTTGCTAGTCCAAAGTCTTTATTTATTTATTTATTTATTTTAATTTTTTTGCACATTTTCAAGCGTCTATGTCACAATAGCAGGAGGTTTTGGCCCCAATAATGCAGACGTGACATACAGTGCTCCAGTAAAAACAAGTACCAAAAACAAAAAGCAACTGACAGATCTGAGACCAAGTCACTCACACAGGCACGAAGGAAACCAAAGCATGTAAAATACAACAACACACATAATACTTTACTAATTTCCATTCTGACACAGAGAGGTTATAGGAGCTGAGGAAAGTGGCAAAATGAGGAGCAGATGCGCTAAAAGAACCAAGTGAGAGTGGGTGTGGCAGGACTGAGGAGCAAAATCAAAACAAAAGGAAACTGAACTGATGACACTGAGGTGAACAGATCAGATAAAAAGCACAAAAATCCCAGAACACACACAGAAAAAAACATCTCATATAATAAAACACTATGTTATTATTATGTTGTGAAAAGTACATGTCATGCTTGTGGATCTAAATGTGTTATGACTACTGACAGCTAAGAATGTCCCGTGTTGATTACTGAACTATAAGCTCACTTTTACTGGCTCCTTCTCCTCTGTAACCTCACAAATTTGGGTCATGAAGCCTGTGTCAGTTGATTGGCTGTGAGATGCATGCACGCTCTGATCACAGGCACGTCCT